CATATTATACGGGTGTTAGTGAACGAACTATAAGTAAAATTAGAAAAGAAGATAAAGACAGGCAAAATGCAACCTCCACACAGCCTTTAGCTTCTCCCGGAAAAAAGAGATCACGCCCTTCTGTGATCCAAAAAATTGATGGAGTCGATTTTTCCATTATTCGGAGAATGATAGAAAAATTTTACTGTGATTTTAAAGTGGTACCTACTTGTAGTAAACTTCTAATCAAACTGAAGGAAGAAATGGAATTTCCATTTGGTAAAGAATCGTTGAGGCTGCTTTTAAAAGCAAAAGGATTTTACTGGCGTAAATGCCACAACAAAAGGAAATTACTAATGGAAAGACCCAGTATTTTACATTGGCGATACAAGTATCTTAGGTCTATTAAAAAGTTCCGGGAAGAAGGAAGGCATATTATTTATTTGGACGAAACTTGGGTTGATAATGACCTCACTTTCAAGAAATGCTGGCAAAGCGAAGAAATTATGGGTGTCCTGAGCAATATAAGTTCTACAGGTAATAAAGTTTCTTTCACCTCGATTTTGCTTATTATACATTTTTCTCAATTTTGGAATATTCTTAATAAGTGCTCATTTAATTTGTCTAATTGAATACATAATCCCTTGCAAGTATTTTTTTCTCAAAAATATGTTTTTTATACATAGTGATTCAAAAAGGTGTTGGCAAACTTAAAATAACACTAAAATGAGGCTATTTATTCATTTCCAGGACGACTTATAATTGTTCATGCGGGTTCGCAAGATGGTTTTGTTCCTGGAGCCTGTCTCATTTTCAAGGCTGGCTGTGCCACTGGTGATTATCACGGTCAAATGAACCAAGAAAATTTCACGAAGTGGCTTACTGAAAAACTATTTCCTAACATTCCTCCTAATAGTATTATAATAATGGATAATGCACCTTACCATTCAGCTTTGGAAGACAAGCCTCCAACTAGATCTTCTCTAAAAAGAGACATCATCACGTGGTTGAGCAAAAAAGGTATAGAGCATGATCCTAATGCTAAAAAAATGGAGCTTTATGAAATAGCTTGTCTACATAGGCCACCATCTGATGAGAAAAATTATAAGATAGATAATTTAATAAGAAGTTTCGGACACACCCCACTTCGAACGCCACCCTATATGTGTCAGTTTAATCCCATAGAGATGATTTGGGCACAAGTAAAATTTTTCATTAGAAGCCATAATACAAGCGGCGAATTTACTATAAAAAAACTAGATGAAATTTCTAATAAGGCCATCGCTTCAGTAAGTGCCAGTGACTGGCAAAAGGTTATTGGACATGTTATAAAAATTGAAGATGAATATTGGGAAAAAGACAGTCTCATTCAAGAAATACAGGAAGAAATAATAATCAACATAGGAGGTGAAAGTGATAGCAATGACAGTTCCTCAGACAGTGATCATGACTCTAATCAGGATTGAAACTATACTAGATTGGCTACCTTTTAGAATTTTTAGATATTCATTTATTATACTATTGGTTTGTGGCTTTTAGTATCTCAGTAGAAAGTCTAATTCTATGTGTTGTTTATGGGTTATTTCATCAAGAAATTACTTTTTGTTTTCCTATATTTTTCTATTCAGTCAGATATTTTTGACTTGTTGTATTCTATTTTAGAAGAATGCATAATTTGTTTTGCTGTTCAATCATAATGCGTACATAGGAATATTACTTGTTGCCTAAAAAATATATTTATTTTGTTCTCAATATTCAGTGTTTGTGTATATTTATTTCTTATAATGTATGTTTGGTATCACGTCATTATGAATCGCAAAAAATATTAATACTACCAGTTGTAATAAAATATAAATTCAATTAATAATTCAAGTCTCTCCGATCTCCGCCTATGACTCCATATAAAATCGTCTAATGGTAAGGTTTTTTCATCGCATTTCCCCCTTTCGTCCCTAGCAATCTTTGGCTGGTCGATCAATAGTATACTACTGCGCCATAAAAATATTACGACAGATCTGGATACATCTTCGATTTATTTCTTGAACATGACATGGCCAAAAATCAAAGGTAGTTTCGCTTTTAGAATGGTTAGACGCCCCTGTTGATATCCTACACACCGTACAAACAACCATAAAGAGACGTCTGTTATGGTTGGTCATAATCACAGAAAGCAAATAGATTCACTTCAAAAAAAAAATCAAATCAAAATCTAAAACCTTTATTTTCATACAGAAAATATACAATTGTATTGGAATGGTCAATTTTTCCTACGCTGCATACCTACAACTAATCTTAAATTGCAATGTTAAAAAATTCATCAACACGATAAAAGCACTTGTTTATCAAAAATTGCTCCAACTAGAACTTGAACTGATTAATATTTTTATCCGAGGTCATGTGGCATGGTAAACTATTAAAAAGAAGTGGACGAATTATATTAGGTAATCGAAATGCCGCTTTTGATTTGCTGAAGTTCACATATAAAAAATACATCTTCAGAGCGCGTTGACCAACTCTAGAAACATACTCCATATCTTAATCTTGATTCCACATTAGCAAAATAAACTTGTATTAATTGTTCAGTTGTTAAGATGGTTTTTATTTGCCTCAAAACATAGCTTTGAGAGTGCATCTTTGATGTGAGAAATTCGCAGTGGGCCTTGCAATTTAATTTCGTATCAAAATGAACTCCAAGAAATTTCACTTCTCCTCTTAAATCGAGTTGATCGTCATCCAATCTAACTTGAACCTCTCCTACAGTTTGTTGAGCACGATGTCAACAAATAAGCGTTGTTTTGGAAGGATTCAAGTATAGTTAGTACTGGTTAAACCACGTATTGATTTTCCTAATTAAGTTGTTGCATTTATTTTCCAAAACTATATTTGAATTACTTGATATTATGGCAGAAACTTCATCAGCATATGCTGTAAAATTAGCATCTGGATGAACATTATCAAACTGATTAATATATAAGAGAAAAAAGATTGGCCCAAGAATAGAGCCCTGGGAGACTCTAACCAAAATGTCTAACGTACTTGACACAAAGCTTTTCATATTTTTCCCTGCATCAAGATATTGCACTGAAACATATTGTTTTCTTTGGACTTTGGCCCATTTAAGAGACTGACAGACAAAACCATTTTTATCAACAATCTCCAAGAATTTGTTGTGATCAACGCGGTCGAATGCCCTACTGAGATCACAAAATACCCCAGTAGGGCACTCGCCCGCGTCGAATGTACCGCTGACATTATGGTCTTACCAACTGTGAAACCATGCTGGTTTTGAGACAAAATATTGTTGTTCTTAAGATGTAGAAGAAGTCTATCCAAAAAAGCATGTTCAAACACTTTAGAAAGTACAGACGGCACAGTGATTGCCCTGTAGTTTGTAATATCAAGCCCGTTCCCCTTTTTTAAAATTGATATAACTTTACCTAGTTTCAGCCTACTTGGGAACTCTCTGCAGCAAAATGAGATATTCATGTGTGTTATTGGTTTTATTATAAAATGCAGTACTTCTTTCACCAGAAAACTGGGAATGCCATCAAAACCGCAAGATTTAGAATTATTTATTCACTGAGATCTGTATAAGAGCAAAACCTGAAATCATTTTTGACATTAAATTTGAAATCAGGTATACTATCTGCGGTATTAATGTTTTGTATTATATCATCTGGAACATTTTTAAAAAATCATTGAACATATTTGCCAACAGCTAAGGGTCGTGCACTTTTTCATTTTGACCTTTATGTAGATGTATATTTTTTTGAACAGAGTTCTCATTTCTAGTTTCATTGACCACTTGCCAGCACGCTTTGGTGGTATTTTTAGACAACATAATTTTGTTTTTTAGCATCATTATACAGTGAATTTAGTCTTGGATTCATTTGTGAAGTATAATATAAATCTTTCAAATTATTGCTTGAATTTGTTATGTTATGTGTAACCCAACTTTTTGAACCATTTCCCTTACAGGCATTTGTAAAGCTAGAGTAAACTGACAGCCAAGATTCGTTTAGTAAAGATTCTTTGAAGTCGCTAATTGCGTTTTGATGAAAACCTTGTTCGATTTCTTGGAGCAAACATCGAAGTCCCACATAGTCGTTCTGTGATCTGAAACTGTATAATCATAGACACAGGGAATGAACTGAGTAATATTGGTAAAAACGTGGTCAATGCTTGTGGCAGAAGTATCTATCACTCGGGTTGGACAACCGCATTTATGATACAAACCAAACTAGAGAAAATATTACACAATTTCACAAAATTAATACATTTGTACTCATAACAATTAAAATCAAAATCGCCCCATACAATCAACAAAAAATTAGTATTAATAAACAGTATTTAAAATTTCTTCAATTTTTTCTAAAAATACGCCTTCGTCACCATTAGGTGAACGGTAGCAATTTATCATCTTAATTTTTTGTCTGAAATTGTACAAGATATTGAACAAACTTCTTCAGTCTGGCTTTAATGTCTATTAAACATTATCAACTCTGACGAAGGTACATTTTGCATTTTCGAGTACCTTCTATTTCTTGTGAGTTTTCTCATATTAGACTTCCAATTGTTTCTAAATATGTATGTTGACTCAATCCTTATGATTTTTAAATAGCTTGACTCCCGAAAGGGCCTCAGTAGCTCGGAGATTATCGCGATGAGCTAACAATAGGTCAACTCGAGGCTCGCGGGTTCGAATCTCCGCATCAGAAGTGAATTCGGAGCGATATATGTTGTCTATATCACGCATCAGATTGACGCAAGATTCGATATGTACATTTCATAGCTGGAACTGGTTCATTCAATGATCTGTTACCAGTAGATGGCTTGCGGGGTACTACTATGTTGATACTACAGGGTCGGCAAAAAGGGTCAAATGTGGCTTAGATGCCAGGATTCTTTTCCTCGCCAGTGCTACTACTCCTACTACTACTACTAACTTGCTATCATATATTTGCTTTGCTAAGTAGTAGTTACAAGGCCGAATTGTTTCCTTTTTCACTTTGCTTGCTTACTTGTACTGAACTATCTACAGAACCATCTACAAATGGTTGAACTGTCCCCGTATTGTTAACAAGAACTATCGTATCATTGGCATATCGAATATTGACATTTTCACATTGCCAAAGCTGTACTATATCATAAAATGGATGACTGAGATTATTGTGAACAGTCTACGGATCCAGGTTAACAAGGCAGACATCTATCCAGCTGCAAAACATTTTTCCCTTCAGTCAGCTTATGCCTAATTCTGGACCAGTTTCTGTTTTATTTTATTTTATTTTATTTAATTTCATTTTATTTTATTCTTTTTATTTTATTTTATTTATTTTATTTTATTTTATTTTATTTATTTTATTTTATTTTATTCATTTCATTTCATTTCATTTCATTTCATTTCATTTCATTTCATTCATTTCATTTCATTTCATTTCATTTCATTTCATTTCATTTCATTTCATTTCATTTCATTTCATTTCATTTCATTTCATTTCATTATTTCATTTCATTTCATTTCATTTCATTTCATTTCATTTCATTTCATTTCATTTCATTTCATTTCATTTCATTTCATTTCATTCATTTCATTTCATTTCATTTCATTTCATTTCATTTCATTTCATTTCATTTTCATTTCATTTCATTTCATTTCATTTCATTTCATTTCATTTCATTTCATTTCATTTCATTTCATTTCATTTCATTTCATTTCATTTCATTTCATTCATTTCATTTCATTTCATTTCATTTCATTTCATTTCATTTCATTTCATTTCATTTCATTTCATTTCATTTCATTCATTTCATTTCATTTCATTTCATTTCATTTCATTTCATTTCATTTCATTCATTTCATTTCATTCATTTCATTTCATTTCATTTCATTTTCATTCATTCATTTCATTTCATTCATTTCATTTCTTCATTTCATTCATTTCATTTCATTTCATTTCATTTCATTTCATTTCATTTCATTTCATTTCATTTCATTTCATTTCATTTCATTTCATTTCATTTCATTTCATTTCATTTCATTTCATTCATTTCATTTCATTTCATTTCATTTCAGTTCATTTCATTTCATTTCATTTCATTTCATTTCATTTCATTTCATTTCATTTCATTTCATTTCATTTCATTTCATTTCATTCATTTCATTTCATTTCATTTCATTTCATTTCATTTCATTTCATTTCATTTCATTTCATTTCATTTCATTTCATTTCATTTCATTTCATTTCATTTCATTTCATTTCATTTCATTTCATTTCATTTCATTTCATTTCATTTCATTTCATTTCATTTCATTTCATTCATTTCATTTCATTTCATTTCATTTCATTTCATTCATTTCATTTCATTTCATTTCATTTCATTTCATTTCATTTCATTTCATTTCATTTCATTTCATTTCATTTCATTTCATTTCATTTCATTTCATTTCATTTCATTTCATTTCATTTCATTTCATTTCATTTCATTTCATTTCATTTCATTTCATTTCATTTCATTTCATTTCATTTCATTCATTTCATTTCATTTCATTTCATTTCATTTCATTTCATTTCATTTCATTTCATTTCATTTCATTCATTTCATTTCATTTCATTTCATTTCATTTCATTTCATTTCATTCATTTCATTTCATTTCATTTCATTCATTTCATTTCATTTCATTCATTTCATTTCATTTCATTTCATTTCATTTCATTTCATTTCATTTCATTTCATTTCATTTCATTTCATTTCATTTTATTTATTTTATTTTATTTTATTTTATTCATTACAACACCCTACAGTAAATACCAATTACAGGGTGAGGAAACACAGAACATAACACATATATAAAAGACAATAAGAAGTAATAGACTACAAAGTGTTAAATGATACATGCTGGTTACTTAATGGTATTTTTTATGTCTGCAATTCTGCAGTTAAATATATCAATCCTGTTACTTGCAGAATTGTAATTCCTACACATCACATGTAAAGGGGAATAGTGTAAATAATTTCTCCGTGCCGCAGGTAGATAAAACGTAACGTTTCGTCGGGATGTCAGCCTACGTTAAATGATAACTGACCCAAGAAACCTAAATCATCACTAGCATTATTGATCAATTTAAACAGAAAAATCACTGACTGGAAAGTGCGCCTTGCTTCAAGACTGCTGGTTAGATGTTTTTCAGGTAAGGAATCATGAGGTATACCTATGGGCGGGTAAACGCCATTCACTTTCAGTAACAAATATTTTAAGAAACACACATTCACATTCAAGCCTACTTATATGAATAATATGATGCGGTTTCCAAATTAGCAATGCATACTAAAGCTTCGACCTAACATATGTATAATACAGCAACTTCAAGGTGGTACTCTGAGTGAAATCACGGCAGTTTCTTACAATAAAGCCATACATGCGATTTGCCTCGGAAATTTTGCTGTCAATGTGTTTGACGAATATTAGTTGGTTGTCAAATGTCACGCCTAAGTCACATAAAGTTGAAGTCCTCTGAACAGAGCTACCTGACGGGATATAGTCAACTAACAGAGGATTTTTCTTCAAAGTGTAAGACATTACGTAACATTTATTGATGTTGAATGACAGATGGTTTTCTGAGCACCAAGCATCCAACCTGATCAGATTTTCTAAAAGTTGATCACAGTCTGATTCATCAACTACACGACAAAACATCTACAGCTCATCAGCGTAAAGTAAACAATTCTCGCCAACAGCATTAACTGTGTCATTCACAAATATGACGAACAATAAAGGCCCTAGGTTACTGCCTTGTGGCATACTTCGATGATGTGATGCCATTAAACATCACAAATTGATTTCTTCCAGTGAGGTAGGACTTAAGTAGTTGTATTAAAGGATCGGATAATCCATGAGATTTCAGCTTATGCAATAGCATCCTGTGATCAACTCTGTCGAAAGCCTTGGAGAAGTCTGTGTAGACCACATCTGTTTGTAATCCTCTGTCAATGTTTTCTGCTATGGTCTGTGTGAAGTTCATCAGATTTGATACTATTGAGCGCCCTTTCATGAAACCATGTTGTTGAACACATATTTTTCTGCTGACATGATGATACAGTCTGTTATATATTAATATCTCTAGAGCTTTTGAAAAATTGCACAATATTGATATAGGTCTAAAATTTGATACATCATTCCTACTGCCGTTTTTGGGTATTGGACATACTTATACAACTTCCATAATTCTGGAATTGTGCAGGTGGTAAGACACAAGTTGAATAAAATGGTCAAAGGACGCGCCAAGACAGGGGCACAGTCACGCAAAATCAAAGCTGGTACATTATCCGGTCCGGTAGTCAGCTTAGGTTTTATTTGCTTCAAGGCTAAGACAACTTCATCCTCCTCAAATCTTGTAATATTGAGTAGTAGTTCATTGCTCATTAAAAAGTCATCAGTTTCTTCGGTGGCTGAGGAAGACGAGTAGTATTTGGAGAAGTTATCCGCAAAAGCATTTAATATGTCGTTCGGTTCCAAAAGTTCATTACCATTGTAAATCATCCTACTTGATAAGTTTGTTGATTTTCGCTTAGAATTTAAGAAGCCCCAAAATTTATTCGAATCTCTTTGTATTTCGTTCTCAGCTTGTCTGACATATATTTTGTATGCTTCATCTGAATCTATCTTAATTTTTGATCTAAGTTCCCTGAATGTCTGGTACGTTTTAGTATCATTGTTGCGTCTGTAAGATCGGTGAATCTTCTCCTTGCGTTTGATAAGCTTAATTATTGCTGAATTGAACCATGGTGGGCATTTACGTATCGTTGCTCGGACATATTTTGGAGCACAGGTATCAAAAGCATTGTACAGTTTATTATAAAAGAACTCACACGCTTCATTCGCGTCTAAAGCAGCCCAATCCATGTCTGAAATTAAATAGTATAATTGGGGGAAGTTGGCTTTGCGGAAATTATAAGAATTCATAAATGAAACAGGAAAATTATGCTTAGTAGAGAGATTGCTGTTGACATTACAACAAATATTCAGGGCAGGGTGATATGGGTCTTCATCTAGCAGCGGATCCCACGAATGTTCAACCTCACACAGACCACTACAGAAAACTAAATCAAGGGTATTGTCCATAGAATTTGAAGTTTTGTTAAACTGATTAATGGCAAGACCCTCAGCAAAGTTGTCCAACGATACCAATTTTGCGTTGCGTCCATGACTATTGGCATAAGAAGTGTGGTTACCTATGTTGAAATCCCCTCTTATAACTAAATTTTTATCAAATAGGACGTGCGATGACAAGATAGCATCATAAAATTGCTCATATTCAGCATTGGGCTTATCAGGTGGTATGTAGACATTGCAAATGTACACTGAAAAAGAGTTGGTACAAACCTTGACTGCTACTACATCTGCTACTTAGGTATCTCTATCAAAGATGCTGTAAAACGGTCATCGATCGCAATCAACACACCACCACTTCTTGAGCAACCAGTGGTTACATAACCACGATCTGTCCGGAGCACATTATATGTAGTTGGAATAAATTCACTACTCATACATGAGAAATCTAACCAGGTTTCAGTTATCGCAATGATAGGATATTCACACCTACAAATAGCATTATAAAAAACAGCAGCTTTTGTTCGGAGTCCACGAACATTTTGGTAGTATATTAGAGGTTGCAGCCTATCACTACAATTAGAATCTAGTCCGATGAAGGGATGCATTGGCTGCTACTGACTGAGTAGGTCGTGCCTTAATCTATCAAGGGCTTCATTGTATGCCTTGCATTTCTGCTTGTCCCAAACAGCATGATCCGTTTGCACACTATCATCTTTCTGTTTAGGTTTCATACAGTTTGAGCATTTACGAGTCTGTGATTTGCAATGTTTGACCTCATGATTCTCGCTACAGAGTGGGCAAACAACTGCACCTTTACATTTGCTAGAAGAATGATGGAATTCATTACATTTAAAGCAACGATACACATCAATAGCATCGTAAACAGCGCAATTGTCATACCCCTCAAACAAGTAAGCAGCTTTAACAATTTTCTCATAACTACTCCTATCCACCTGAACAATAGCTTGATATACAGAAGGGTCTTTTTTAGTAGGAAGGTGCTTAACAATTTTACATTCAAAATCATCTTCGAAGATATCTGTATTTCCTTTTCATAACAAGTGCCGTAATTTATCATCTGAATATTTATCTGACATATCCCGAGTTACCTAACGGAGACAGCATAATGGTAACAAACAGCATGCCGATGCCACGAAATGCATGGAAAAAACCAAGAGTAGTCAGCCACTGAGTCAGGTCCTGACTAATAGCGAACATTTGAACAGTATAACCTATTGTATCAGTTTGATTAGAACCAAACCACATGTAGTTGCATTTGCCAAGGTAACTAATTTCTATGCCTTTGTACTCCAAAGTATTCCCAATGCTTTCAACAGTCTTAATACAACTGTCTTCTTGCTCTTGGCTCTCACCCGTTTTTCCTTTGATCCTCAATTTGTTCCTCAGTACTATATGGCTGTCACAAGAGCTAAGATCTTACGGACCGCTCTGATAACCAATAATATCTTGACGTCGTTGAAGTCAGTCACACTTAAGAAACACTCAACACATGAGTAGCCACTACAGATATGTTACCACTATCATCTTGTTGAATCTCCGGATCCTCGAGCAACCCCATTATCTGCGCCCTCGCACGCGGCCGTGCGTAGATAACCGATATATAACAATTTGTTAGAGAAGGAGTGGAAGCAGCGAAGCACGGAGGCTGTTGCATGTACGCCGTGCATCTGCCGGTAAGCTCAACAAGCGTTAAAAACGTGAAAAATATCGCTAGGTGTACTTTGGAGTTTATCTGCTGCTGCTACGTAATCTTCATAACATGATGGCTTTTATTCGGATGACCCTAAAGCGACGGAATTTGCATGGAACATGAATAAATGTATGAGCCGAGCGCGCTACGACATTTGAATTATTTTTTAGTAAATCAAGTGGGTTCAACGTCAGCGTGTCCTCTATCAAAAAACATGAACAAGCTTCGTGTAGTCAGGTAGGATTAGCTTTTCTGCTACAACAACAGCTGTTGGGAACTTGAAACAAAATTCTTCGGAAAAATGCATGTTAAATTACTGCCACCGAAATACTTGTTTTTAAAAAAAACCTTATTTCGATTAACGGTACAAAAGGACTTTTGTGAAATCTTGTCACGACGATGCGTAAAACAGGACGGTTAGACAAGAAGTGACAAGATTTCCTCACACATGGATTTAGTGCAATGCAGTAGAAATATAATATGCTGATACAGAGAATGTTAACATGCGAACTTCAAGGCGCAAGATAAGATTCCATAGCGTAGCGACAATGCTAGCAAGAAATACAAGTACCAGGTGATAATTATAATATTATATAAAATACAGGGTGATGATGGATATACCTTGCATATGTGTGTATGTAGGTTATCTAGATCTGTTTAACCATTGTTACTGGCCGTACACGTTTATAGAAGGGTCAAGGTAGAGTCATGGAAAATTTTACCTAAATTCAAATCTCGATATTTTCTGAACGCAAAGAGATATCGAGTTGCCGTATTCGGGACCTTATTGACCAGCTCTGTGAGAACATGTACCGAGTTTGACCGGTATATTTCCTTTATTGATCCACTTATAGAGGGTGAGCAAATGAAAGAATGATTTCTTTTTAGCAAAGTTTGACGCCATGTCAGATTCTTAATTTTTAATCTTGGAAATTTTTCTGTGCATATCTTTGATCCTTCGACTATCCTGAAAAAAGTAGTTTCTCAAATCTTTAGAAAGTTGCCTACAACTGAAGTTATCGAATTTTTAACTTGCCGCAATAAATATCTTTCGGTTCGACCTCGTATTTTTTTTTTCTGATTACCCTCTCCATGCAAATATGATGTTTCTTCGGTTTCATCCTAACTACCTACACCTCAAACATGCAATTGCTAAGCAACAATAGTATTTACTGTAGTCTTGACAGTATGATTTTGTTTTCTCAAAAATGCCTCGTCGTTTTAAAAAAAACGAGAAAACTGTATAAAATTATTGGAAGGAGGTCGTTTAGCGTATGATGTAGCTTTAATTTATAATGTTGATCGGTCCTCAATATACTGTTTAAGGCGTATATATCAGGATACCGGGGAAACGTTCTACTTGCAGGGAGGAGGTAATCCAAAAAAAGAAAAATACGAGGTCGGGCCGAGGCATGCCAATGCTGAATGAGAAAGGTACATATGAATAGCAGCGTTGGACAGCATCATAGCATTTTGAACAATAATTTTTTTATTTATTAAGAGTAGTAACATGGATGTGTTCATTAAGCTGTTTAATTACATAGTAAAATTTAAAAATTCGGTTTAAATTACATAATGTCAGAGTAGCAGATTTTTACTCCACGCCACTAGAGGCAACAGCGTTTTCTCGGGAACAAGAAATTCCACTGCAACAGTATGACAGAAAAAATATCCATTCTCACGAGAAACCCCAAGAAAGTCTCTTTTTTAGGGATAAATGTAACACTTTTGTAAAATTCGATAATTTGAGTTATAGCCAACTTTCACAAATTTGAGAAACTGCTTTTATCAGGATAGTCCAAAGATTAAAAAGATGCAGTGAAGCAGTTCCAAGATTAAAAATTCAGAATCTGACATATCCCCAAACTTTGCTAAAAAATCTTACCCTGTATGAGTGGATAAAAGGAATATACAGATCGAACCGTGTACGAGTTTTCTAAGAGCTGGTCAAGAACTTTTCGAATATCGCAACTCTGTATCTATTTCAATTGCAAAAATATTGAGATTTGAATTTGGGTAAAATTTTCCATGTTGCAAAGCAACTGTCTAAGTTTACATCAAGGTAATTAATTCTGAGCCACTCAGTAATCTGCTTCCGGGCACTAGTAACTCTATATACGATATCGTTTAGGAAAAGTGATCACCTAAAACTGCCAATCATTTGCCCAGACGCAGTTACATTATGGTAGCAGAGCAAAGTTAGGCAATAGTGATTACATACTATACGCTACTACTTTTGTCATTATCACGAAAACTAAACTTATCCAGTATTTACATTTCATCTTGAAATATTGCCAACTCGGTTTGATACATAATTAAGTGATGATGTACCCGTCCAATTCATTTAAGTCTGGCGACTAGGAGTCGTTATAAAATGGTATCTCGAATATCCATATCGACTCACGAAATAGATGTTCCAAAACATTACATTTTTATGAAAATGGTGGATGTCCCGTGAGTAGTATTACTCTAAGCATTTATTTGTTTAGTATGTTCTGAAAAAACATGGACCAGGCAACATGTAGATTCGTTAAGAAAGCTCCTTTTCTAGTAAGAATATGCAAATTATACGAATCAAAGTATTTTCGGAGTAGACCGGAAGATTCTGCTTGGACTGTAATAGTTTAGAAATTTCCTGGAAGTACTTTCTGACTACATATTACAGCGTCGACGATCCAAACCAATCGAGGAATTAACCACCTTTCAATAAGGTGTCATTCTGGTTATATAAGACTTTTGAGGCAAACAGGAGTTTACACAACGTCAAAATAAAGATACAGTGAAGGTTCAGTTTATCATCTCTATACTCAAGTCTATAACGTCATCGTTGTCTATGGCTATTACGCAAACATACCTTTCTTGGTAATGAAGTAAGAAATCCACGATCTACATTCTTTGAATTCTGTTCTAGTTGTTTGCTAAACACCTCTCCAAGCGAAATTGCACATGCTGAAAACAGTTCAAGTGGGGCCGACGCAGAATAGGAAAGAAGAATGAAAACTGATATATAAACTATTATGTAAGTACTCCTTTAGAATGATATATCACGTTTCAGAAAACTGTTCCCACAACAAAAGTGCATTGTGTAGCCTGCCTGGAGCAACGCTTTTGCCTCTGAATAGACATGCACTTTTATGGACCTTAAAAATACATTCCTTGTGATGTAAGCGTCTCTTGCACGATATGGTATAGCTACGGGGCGTCCAACCTCACGGATAAACCCTCAAAGTGTTGAACACTATACGGATGTTGAATTTTAAGAGTGCACGTCTATTACCAGGTATCAAGAAAAGTAAAAAGGTGTTTTAGTAAGTCATCTTACTAAACAGGGTGTTTCCTAGAGAGGATTTCTAACTCTGTAATTTTGTTCATCATGTACATGCGTATCGTAACTGTTTAAAAAATACATCCTCCAAGGACTGTAACAGAGGGAAGGAGATAGTGCCGTCTAACGAGCAACCTTGATGATAAGCTGTTCAGTAGAGTACCCTAGACAAAGTTATTGTAAACCTCTGTCCACCTCTGAAACTGGATACAGCTGGGTAGAAAACGAATTTCTCGTTGGCATGAAAATAAGTCATATAAAAATCCAAGATCGCAAAAGTCAAGTTAATTGTTCAGCTATTTCCGTATATATATACAGGGTGTCCGCAAAGTTGGGGTTTTCCTTTACACGACGTGTAGATCTTGAAAACATAAGCAATTTTTCTTAGTACCATATACACCAATGTCTTAAGGGAACCGAGATAAAGGACTCTGCAACATCAAAAATATCTGAATACCGTCCTGTAGTCACGACATTCCCGAGTGGTACTAGGACACTAGCT